CGGGGATTTAGCTCAGTGGTTCTGCTGCCTGCCTCACAAGCGCAAGGTCCCCAGTTCGATCCCTGGTACCAAAAAAAAAAAAAAAAATTACAGGGTTTTGCCAGGCATGGTGCTGCACACCTGTGATCCCAGCACTCAGGAGGCAGAGGCAGGAGGATCACTGTGAGTTCGAAGCCAGCCTGGGCTACATTGTGAGTTCAAGGCCAGCCTAAACTACACAGTGAGACCATGTCTCAAAGAAAAAAAGAAAACAAAATTACAGGGTTTCACTGTTGTTATCTTATTTTTTGGGAGAAATTTTGTTACAGTATACATAACGCTAATTACTTACTAGGCTTGAAATTTTGTCTTAGTTTGTACACTAATTCTAAAACTAAAGCCAACTCTCAAAAGTCAACTATTATAGAACTATAAGAGATGTGTTTAGTTTATCAAGGAAGACAAAATGAATGGAATTCTTTCAGAACATTTTCCCCATCCTCAAGATCATAACATACTGACAACTATTTCAGTAACATGCTAACAATTTGCAAGGCAATTACTTTACAAGGGAACATCATGAGAAAAATGCATTTTAATATGGTCTAAGTTTTTTTTGTGTGTGATACTGGAGGTCGAATTCAGGACCTTCCGCTTGTATGGCAGGTTCGGCACCACTGAGCTAAATCTCCAGCCTGGTCTAAGTTTTAAACATGTTTGATAATTAAATATTTCAGAAAACTATTTTGTTAAGCAGTCAAACTAGAATTTACTTTCATCTTTCCTAATGCTGGACATTTAGGCCATTTCCAAATATTTAAATAATGCACAATAAACATTTTTGTGCATTTTTTTTAGACAGGGTCTCACTGTGTAGTCCAGGCTGTCCTCAAACTTGCTGCCATCCTTCTGCCTCAGCCTCCCAAGTGCTGGGATTACAGGCATGCGCCACCCCATTGGGCTATGTGTATGGTTTGTAATAAAGTTGTCTAATACCTTCAAGTGGTTTCATTACCTTTGCTTCTTCCACATAAGGGGAGAACAGCCGAGGTCGAACATATATACCAGCATTTTTTTGCCGTAACCAGGCATTTGACTTTCCACCTTCTGTTGTAGGAAGCATATCTGATGAGGGAGTACTAATTAAACCTCTTTTCATCTTAAAAAACAAAAACAAAACAATACTTTTTTTTAATGAACTGAAGGTCTGCGTGGAATTACGAGTATCATCAAGACAAATATATACGTCAAAACAAAGTTTACCATTTAAATGAAAACTTAGGAATGTATGTGAAATTTAGAAATACCTCAAATGCTTAAAAATATTGAAAGGATTCAGCTATAAGAAGGTACTACAATTTCCCATTTTTCTGAGTTTTTAAAAAGAAAAGGACATGTTAATTTTTCCCCTTACTTATCTCTGCTCCCAACTCCTACAAAGACAAAATAAGAACATCAACTAGGCCTCTCTTTATAGCACAAAGACATTGGAATCCTCATCTAACAGCCATGTGACCAGGAGTATCTTGTCTCACCTGGGCCTCACCTCATAGGGTCCCGTAAGGCCCTAAAAGTGGGGCACTACACAATTAACTGTATGTTGTGGTCTTGCTGTTTCCTTAATTGATCCTAGAAAACAAATCAAGTCCCTTAGCTCCAAAGGTGGCAGTAAAGATTAAGTAAAGGACAGGGACTGGAGGTGTAGCTTAGCGCTACCCCATTTGCCTAGCTGTGTGAGGCCCTGGGTTCTATCTTCATATCATAAAAATACGACCAACGACAAAAAACCAAATAAAGGCAAAGCAGATAAAAGCATTTGCTTAGCATCTAACAAGAGAGCATGAAGGTTAAAATCTTCAATAGGGACTTCATTGCTAGGCATGAAACAAAAGCAGAGATTTATTTATTTATTTTTGGAACCAGGGATCGAACTTGGGTCCTTCCACTTGCAAGGGAGATTTATATTTTCTAATCAAAGTTCTAAAGTATTTTTCTAAACTATATACAGGATTCAATTTGGTTTGAATCCTAGGCTTCAAACAAAACCATAATTGAGTTTCTCCAACATCACTCTTATTAAATATGATAGCACCTAAGTGATGCACTAGTTAAAACTATTTTTAATTAATAAAACATACCATTTTATAGTATTTAAAATACAGAGAAAAGAAAAACTCAATACACTGATAGCAACTGAGATTATGTTGTTTCCTTCCAGTGAGTTCCAAATGAATTTTTACATAACTGATTTCTAGTAGACAAAAATACATATTTTGTTTCCTCCTTTTTAAAGTTATATTTCATCATTAGCATTTTCCATGTTAGCATTAGTCTTCTTAGGACAACAAATTGTCCTGTTGAGTAATCATACCATACTTTAATTTCTCCTGTTATTAGAAATTTAAGCTATTGCCAAATAGGTAAACGACATTAAACATCTTTATACATATATGTGTACACACATGCACACATAAGAGACACACACACACACACACACACACAATTCCTAATAGTATTTCTCAAAAGAAACATCAGAGGCAAAGTTACCTGGTCAAAGGTGAAGTTATCAGATCAAAGAATAAGAATACTTTGATGGCTCTTGATAACGTTTTTAATGTTACCCATCTGGACTGCTGCAATACATAATGCTCTATCAATATACCACTGTACTTCCCCTATGGGATAGTAACAGCATTTCAAAGATTAATTACTGAAATGGTAAAAAAAAAAACCCAACAGCTTTTTTTTTTGCTTTATTTGGTTCATGATTACAGGACTGAGGGCCAGGGATTTAGCTCAGTGGTTCTGCTCCCTGCCTTGCAAGTGCAAGGTCCCGAGTTCGATCCTTAGTACCAAGAAAAACAAACAAACAAACATACAAGACTGAATATTTTTTACAATCAGATTCCATAAATAGTTTTCCTAGATTTTTTGTTTCGATTCAATAGGGATTAAGTTTGTGTGCAATGAAATAACTGTTTAACTTAAATTTCTTCTTTCCTACTAATCAGTTAATTTAGCACCAAACTGATTTGTCACAGCTCATTTATTTTAATTCTTTTTTTTTGTTTGTTTGTTTTTGTGGTACTGGGGATCGAATTCAGGACCTTGAGCTTGTGAGGCAGGCACAGTGGCACTGAGCTAAATCCCTGGTACTATTCTGTTTAATTCTTATATTAGGACTTTTTCTGGGCTATTCTGTCTTGTCTGTTATGCTAGCATTCTAAGTTAGACATTAGCATTTTATTTTTTAAAATTCTTTTATTGGTACATTTTAGGTATACAGTATGTTTACATTTATCATTGGGTGCTTGTACCTGTACCTGATGTATCTTAGTTCTTATTTTTTCCCCATTACCTGTGCGCCCTTCACCCCCCTCCACCCTTCCCTATTTACATAGACATCATTTCCATTTTTTTTCTTTTCTCATAATTTTTCCTTTCCCTTCTTTCCTTTCCCCTTCCCCTCCCACCACGACTACACCTTTGGACCTTTACCTATTTCAAATTATCAATTATTCATTTTAATCATTTTAATCCTTATTTACACTTTCAGTTTCTCATACTAGAGATACTATTTGGTATTTGCACATGTGTGCCCTATTTATTTCACTTAAGAGTATGGCCTCAATATGCATCCATTTAGCTATAAATGACTAGTTTCTCATTCTTTATGGCTGAGTAGTACTCCATTTTATAAAAAAACCCACATCTTCTTTATCCAGTTTTCAGCTGATGGGCACTTGGGCTGTTTCCAAACTTTAGCTATTACAAATTGTGCCACTATAAACATGGGTGCACATATATCGTTGTGGTAAGATTCTTTTAATTCTTTGGGGAAGATACCCAGCAGGGGAATAGCGGGGTCAAATGGGACCTCTAGTCCTAGTTCTCTGAGGTATCTCCATACTGACTTCCACAGTGGTTGCACCAGTCTGCACTCCCACCAGCAAAGAAGGGCGCCTTTCTCCCCACACCCCCGCCAGCATTTGTTATTGGTTGATTTCATGATAGCAACCATTCTTTCTGGGTTGAGAGACATTAGTATTTAAAAATGTTTTACCTCTAGAAAAGTTATCCTTTCTTTATTCTGTACTTTTTGAAGAACTTTAGAAGAATGACCTCAATCTAAGCCTGAACCTCAAGAAACTAGAAAAATAAAAACAAACTCACTCCAAGTTAGTAGAAGGTAAGAAATAATAAAGATTAAGGCACAAGTAAATGAACTTGACACAAAAAATACAATATAGAAAAGTTCAATAAAGTGAAGCAGTTGGGCTTTTTAAAAAGATAAGCAAAATCAACAAAACTTTACGTAGACTAAGAAAAGACTCAAATTCTTCAAAACAATTGAAGAATACTAATTCTTCTAAAATTATTTCAAGAAATCAAAGAGGAAGGAATACTTCCAAATTCATTCTATGAGGCCAGCATTATCCTGAAACCAAAATTGGACAGACACAACAACAAAAAGGAAAACTACAGGACTAGTATCCCCAATGAACACAAATGTAAAAATCTAGTAAGAAAATATTAGCAAACAATTCAAAAGCACACCAAAAAGATCATCCACCAAGATTAATAAGCAGGATTCATTCCAGGAATACAAAGATGGTTCAATCAATAAATGTGACATACCACATTAACTTAACAAGGGACACAAGATCATTTTTATAAATGTAGCAAGTCATATGGTCATTTTTATAGATGCAGAAAAAACATTTGACAAAATTCAATATCCTTTCATGATAAAAACTCAACAATTAGGTACAGAAGGAACATATCCCAACACAACAAAGGCCATATATTACGAACCCACAACTAACACCCTACTTAAAAGTTGAAAGGTTTGGAATAACACAAAGATGCTCATCCTTGCCACTTCTATTCAGCATAGCACTACTCAAGTCCTAGCCACAGCGATTAGGCAAGAGAAAGAACAAAATGCATCCAATCTGGAAATAAAGAAGTACAACTCTCCCTGTATGCAGATGACATGATCTGCAGAAAACCTTAAAGGAACCACCAAAAAAATCTGCTGGATCTAACAAATTCACCAAATAGGACACAAAAATCAGTAGCATTACTATGTACTAATAATGAGCTATAGGAAAAAGAAGTAAAGAAAATAATCCCATTTGCAAGAGCTACAAAAAACACATAAAATACCAAGGAATAAATTTAACAAAGGAGGTGATCTCTACACTGAAAACTATAAAACACTAAAGAAACTGAAATAGATACAAATAAATGGAAAGACATCCTGTGTTCACAGATTGGAAGAATAAACATTAAAAATGTCCAGGGCTGGGGATTCAGCTCAGTGGCACTGCGCCTGCCTTGCAAGCTCAAGGTCCTGAGTTTGATCCCCAGCATGGGTGGGTGGGGGGTTTTCACATTCCTCAAAGCTATCTAAAGAGCCAATGCAATCCTTATCCAAATACCAATGACATGTTTCATAGAAATAGAAAAAAAAAAATTCAAACTTTATATGGAACCATGTAAAACTTGAATAGCTGAAGTAATCTCAGAAAAGAAAAAAGCTAGAGGAGGGCATCACATTTCCTGACTTCAAAGTATACCACAAAGCTAGTAATCAATGGCATAAAAATGAACACAAAGACCAATGCAACAGAATAGGAGGCCCAGAAATAAATCCTTATTTATTTATTTATTTATTTATTATTTATTTATTGGTACCAGGGATTGAACTCGGGTCCTTGCGTTTGTGCAGCAGGCAGTGAAACCACTGAGCTAAATCCCTGGCCTAAATCCATACATTTAAAGTCAACTGATTTTAGACAAAGGTGCCAAAAATACATAATGAAAAGGATACTTGAAACTTGGGGGAAACCCAAATAGCTTCTTTAGCTTCAGTTGCTTTTAGTTAGCTAACCCCTCCCCCCAAAAATCACTAATTCTAGAGGTCATGTAGCTGAGAAACACATTATTAGTTTCCTACTAGCTTTGGCTGGAGGAAACACTGCTAAGTATAGCTTATGATAATCATGGCTGTTTAGGCTGCTTTTCAGAACTCAAAGGCTGTTTTTATCAAAATAATTGAGTCTCTCATTTAGGCCTGATCAAGTATTTGATGGGAGAGCTTCTGATGCCAGGAAGCTGAAAAACCATCCTCAAATTATGCTAATGGAGCCATTTTCTGAATATGTGTCTCATGAACAGCCATGAAGTTTGACTACACATGTGCAGACTACAGATTCCTTCACCTCCAATCACCTTTCTCCATGCTTTAAATAATTGTCCAATAAATATCCTCAGACCCTATCCTCAGGGAGGTGGATTTGAGACTTGGTTCTCTCCCCTATGCTTGGCTACTTTGTGAATAAACTCTCCCTTTTGCAAAACTTGTCTCAGTGATCGACATATTTGGTGAGGAAAATGGGCCTGGTTTGCTAACAGTCTCTTTAATAAATGGATATCCAGATAATGGATATCTACATACAGCAAATGAAATTATTTCTGTATCTCTCACCATTCACAAAAACCAACTCAAAATGAATTGAAGTCTTAAAGTAAGACCTGATATTATGAAATTACTGGAAGAAAACACAGGAAAAGCTCTACAACATTGCACTAATAAGCAAGGACTTTTTGAAAAAAATTCTGAAACCATGGTCAACAAAAGCAAAAATAGACAAATAGGATTACATCAAACCAAAAAATTCTGTGCAGCAAAGCAAATAACTAACAGAGTGAAGACAGCCTATACAGAATGGGAGAAAATATTTTGAAACCACACATCTGATAAGTTAATATCCAAAATACATACGGAACTCAACAGCAAAAAGCTCCCAAAATAACTTGATTTTAAAACAGGCAAAAACCTGTAATAGACATTTTTCACAAGAGGACATATCAGTGGCCAATAGGCATATGAAAAAATGCTCAACATTACTATTATCAGGAAAAGACAAAAACCCTAACGAGGTACTAACTCTAGTTACAGTAGCTTTCAGGAAAAAGACAGTGAGTGCTGATGAGGAAGTGGAGAAAAGGATACCACTGCATATTGTTGGTGGAAATATAAATTAGTACTGCCACTATAAAAAACAGTATGGAGGTTCCTCAAAAAATTAAAAACTGAACCTCCATATGGCAAGCAACTCTGCTACTGGGTATATAGCCAAAGGAAATGAAACCAGTTCATGTCTGTTTCATTCAGACATCTGTATTCCCCTGCTTATTTCAGCACTGTTCACTATAGCCAATTGGTGGACTCAACCTAAATGTACACCAATAGATGAGTGGATAAAGAAAATGTGGAATATACACACAATAGAGTATTATTCAGACTTTTCAAAAAAGGATCCTGCTATTTGTCAACACAGATGAACATAGATGACATTACATTTAGTGAAATAAGCTAGGCACAGAAAGACAAATACCGAATGGTTTCATATGTAGAATCTAAAAAAGCTGATCTCATAGCAGTGAAGAGTAGACTAGCTGTTACCAGAGGCATGGGAGGGTTGCGGGAGATGGGTAGAGGCTGATCAATGGTTACAATGTTAGAAGGAAGAAGTTCTAGTGTTGTTGTGCATAGCGGAGTGACCACAGTTAACAATAATGTTTTTAACTGGAAGAGAAGATTTTGAATGTTCTCACCACAAAGAAATGACAGATGAAACCTCACATTGTTGTAACTCATAAATTTGTACAATTATCATGTAAATCAAAAAACTTAAAGAAAAAATTGTTTATAAGCATTACATTAAATTTAGAAACCAATTTGAAGAATATTTATTTTTTCTATTCATTAATACAACCAATTCTATTAGTATTAGTTTAAAAACTTCATGTAAAAATTATGAAAAGTAATATGATTGCTCCGTTCTCCTCTTGTCCTCTAATTTATTGCTGCTCTTGAAAAGTCTCCAAAGATATTTTCTACCTTTTCCTTTTTAAATAAAGATCTACTTGATTTATACTGACAAATGACTGAATAAAATCAACCAGAAACTACATTCTTGCAAAGTAAGACTTTTTTTCTCCCTCTTAATTCTCATTCACCCAACATTTTTTTGTACTATGTGACAGACACCAGGGACATAGCACTGTACAGAACAATGGCTTCACAATACTTTATTATTAGTAGGAATTATTTACAGGGATTAAAACAAGCCTGGTGTTTTTCTTTTCATGAAAGGAGTAAAGACAGACACTTACTGCATCACTTAAGACTTCACTGTTTATAGGTAAGATGTGTTCAATTCGCACAAAAGGTAAGAGTGAAGAAAGGATCTCTCTTAGCTCTTCAATGTCCAGGTCTCGTCTTTTCACTCCTCTTTTGTTCACACTATGTGCAGTTCCACTCAGTAAGTTTGGCTCTGTGAGACAGAAAACGAAAAGTCTCTACCCAAATCAAAATTTTCAGACAACCTTTCTTCTCTAGTACGTACATTCTCAGAACCACTCTTTGTACTAAGTATATCTGCTTTTTATTATTTATTTATTTAGAGTAGGAAAAATTTATTGAGAGAGATAGCTTCTGTCTAAGAGAGACAGAAGGGGGACCTGAAAATGAATTACCCAGCGACCTTGCTTCTCGAAGGTATTTTATTGAGCAAAGCCCTGAGGTGAGGCAGGTTCAAAGTCTATGTCTGCTTTTTAAAGGGGCTATAAAGCAATTATTTTCTATCTCAAGAAGTTTATGTAATACAGATATGCTCGGATAAAGAAAAAGTGTGTTGTCCACAGCATAACTAAAGAATACTAAAGAATACAATTCTTTTCTGCATAGTAACTCAAAGGAAGAAAGATGACAATCTAATAACATTTAGTTTGATCAAGGGCTTTTAAGCTTTCTTATTTTTGTGACCTGTTTCTAGTACAACAGGGACAGCATAGGGCAGGCATCACTGCAGGTTATCAGCATATTCATGAGGCCATGTGTAATAGCAATTTAACAATATCTTAATGACTTGGGATCCGAAGGAGCAAAACCTATATACATTCTATCTAATTTTAAATTTTTTATGAACTTCCCTAAATTTCCATAACATAGAATGTTACTGAATGTAAGTGGACCCTTTCTTTTTTTTTTGGTACTGGGGAACGAACTCAGGACCTTCTGCTTGCAAGGCAGGCGCAGTGTCACTGAGCTAAATCCCCAGCTCGACTCTTTCATTTTTGACATGTACTGTATTGTATATGTCTACAGTCCAGAGTCAAGAATAAAGATTTTCTTTATTGGGTATTAGTGAAAGGGGAAGATCTAAAATATATATACTTATAGTATTGATGTGGGAGAAAAATTACATAATTTTAGATATCTTTAATCATGTTTTAAATCTAGGGGGCTTTTTTTTCTTAAAAAATTAATACTGCTGTGCAAGCACAAGGACCTGAGTTTGATCTCCGGTACCAAAAAAAAAAAAAAAAAAAAAAAATACTGAGGACCAGGGATTTAGCTCACTGGTGCTGTGCCTGCCTTGCAAGCATAAGGTCCTGAGTTCGATCCCCAGTACTCCCCGCCAAAAAAACTGAATAAGATCTTTACTCAAAAATATAAATGCAGGGGTCTTACAAATACAATATTCTATAAGAAAACTGATACCTTCCTTAAATCCTTACTTATATACATACACACCATTTTTGAGAAGCTAAGCTCTCTCTGAAGCCATTCGAAATAAAATTGTACATGTGTGGAAAAAATGCTTTTGCCTCTGCTTTGCTATGATTTGGCTTCATACTAACACATGGCTTCATACTAACATATTACTTCTAAATTTTTATTTTCTTTAGTGGCATCCTGTTCTCAGATGAAATTTTAAATGAATCCCCCAAATATCTAATAAGTAAGGATAAACTCCTTATATAATGCAGGTGACTGAAACAAAGGGTGGCCTATTTTTTAGCTTCCTTCTTACTCCTGTAGAAGAATCCTTCATTCTAACCCAATCTGAAAATTACTCTTTTAAGGGAAATTTTATCCCTTAAATATGCTCAGTATTTGCCCCAAACAAATACAACCTTCCATCACTACATCAATGAACAAATCTATGACTTATATGAATTATACAGAGGTATCTACAACTAATTCTTGTTATTTCCAGCAGGTATGTTCTATAAAATTGACATGAACAGTTGAGTTAGCTCTGAACCACTGCTCTAGGGGAGAAACATAAGGTTAGGTTCCTGTAAGTCTATGGGTACAATATTTTTTCCAACTGATGAAGAGATAACTTAGTTCTGTGTGTGTTTCCACCTAAGCACAGGTTATTTAACATATATTATTCATTCACTAACATTTAACTCATGGCCAACAACACTGTGACTCATGCCTGAAAGAGGCTTATCTTACACACAGATTTTCTCCATGAGGCACATCATAGCCACCTTGTACTTAGGAACACTTTACAACACTTTAACATCATACTTGGGGGCTGTTTTAAATAGTGAGATCACTAATACAAACATGAAAAAGAGCACTAAATAGACTGTGAGAAGGACCCTTGTTTACAACAGATCTTGATATGATTTTGAGGTTATAAATACATTTTACCCAGTAGGTAAATTCACAAATACAGATCATGCAAAGGAGAACAAAGTGTATATAAACCGACATTTATAAGGCCTTTTGAATTTACTGTAGATACACACACACACACACACACACACACACACACACACACTTTTTTTTGAGGCAGGATCTCACTATGTAGTCCAGGCTGGTCTTGAACTTGCTATATTGCCCAGGCTGGCCTCAACTTGTGATCTGCCTGCCTCAAGCCTCCTGAGTGCTGGGATTACAGGTGTGAACCATGCCTGATCTGATTTTTATATTAAAAAAATTTCCCATCTGAGAATTTGCTAAAAGCTTTTACAGACTATAGAAAAATAAATTAGGAGAAATAAAACAGGACCAATTCTGCTCCTGACTACTTGGGTAGCAGCATACTAAAAAGAGACATTTTTAAGTTTTTTTTCTTCTTTTTTTTTGTTTTGGTACTGGGGATCGAACTCAGGTCCTTGTGCTTGCGCAGCAGACCTCGAAACCACTGAGCTAAATCCCTGGCCCAGTTTTTTTTTCTTCTTTTGAGACAGGGTTTCGTTATGTAATTCAGGTTGGCCTTAAACTCACTATGTAGCCTAGGCTGGCTTGACCTCGTGGTGATCCTCCTGCCTCAGCCTCCTGAGTTCTGGGATTATAGGTGTGTACCACCACGTTCAGGCACTTTCAAAGAAGGTTTCAAGGAAGGTTTAGCACAAAATTTTTATGTATTTAAAAATGTGATAAAACAACTCTATAAATGCACCAACTCTTTCACCTTCCACCACATTTTATTTTATTTTATTTTATTTTTTGGTACTGGGGATTGAAAGCATCTTTTATTTTCCTCTGTTTTTTCCTTTTTTGGGCCCTGAGGATTGAACTTAGGACCTTGTATATGCTAAGCACACATTCTATTCAAGCTACACCCCCAGTAAATCATATTGTATTTTTCTAGGTGAGGTAAAATTCACATGAAATTCACCATTTTAAAGCACGTAATTCAGTGACTTTAGGTACATTCACACTGTTGTGCAACCATCAATGCTAATTCCAGATCATTTTCACTAACAATATACTTTTGCAATATTTTAATCATTACATGAAAAGTTTCATTCTAATATGCCCATTAATTACCAAACATTAAGCACTCAGAAACATAAAAAGTAACCCCTGAACATTGGAAAATAAAATTTTCTGACATTTATTTTACCAAATTATATCCCTTGACTAAAATATTTTATTGATTGCAAAAAACTGTTTTCACTAGGCAAGAGTTCTGTTTTCAAGACTGATGTGCAGTATGCATTTCAGTAAGCTTTTGGAAATATAAAAAACATCAAAAACTTATGCAAGCTGAGTAGCATGAGCTAATTTTTTGAACTTACCTCTGTCTGCTATTCTTTTCATCAACTGATGCTCTCCCTATTTAATTAGATATTTAAGGATATCTTGTTCACTTGCCTATAATAAAAAATGGTTCATATTTTAGTGAAGTTAGATAAACTGTTAATTTCACTAATGACTTTCCCTAAGTTATAATGTAAACAGAGAGTACAACTTATCCTGTTTCTCTCTTTGCACTAGCTGTTTGATATTTCAGTTAAATCTATAGTCTACCAACAACAAATATTCAAAATTGCATTATATGTATTTTTCCAACAACCTTACTCTTGGCTCCAATTAAAGTTTTTTATTATTTTTATTTCTACTTTCCCCCCCTTTTTCCTATTTTATTCCTATTTTAAATTGATCTGATCTCACTATATGGTTTCTATAGTTACCTAAAATTCCTTTTTGGGGCCAGAGATTTGGCTCAGTGGCACTGTGCCTGCCTTGCAAGCACAAGGTCCTGAGTTCAATCCCTGGTACCAAAAAAAAAAAAGAAAAGAAAAAAAAATTCCTTTTTGGAAAAATATAGAAATAAATACATACATGGAAGTAAAACTGCAGAGATACAGAGTCTACTTCCTCCTGTAAGGACAGGAGAAACAGCATGCCAACTTGTGGCAAAAGAGATTATGGTCTCCACCAGTATTGTATGGATTGGTGAGGGATACCTGAAGGACAATCTTTGAAATGGCAATGTTACCCCTCATTTCTTTGTACTTTATTTAAAATCTAGGCTAAGTTTTTTACTTTTTAAGAAGGAAAGAAAAAAAAAAGAAGGAAAGAAAAGCTCCTAAAGACAACAATCAGAGAACTGACACATTCTAATTCCCATAAACATAAATCAACGAGTGTTAACAGTGAGACAAGGTTAATGAGTAAAGATCCTCCATAAATCAAGTCCAAGTGTGACAGCATTTGTACTGCGATCAAAGTAATGCCAATGGAAAATAAGAGATGCAGAGGAGATTATTTAGTTCTTCACTGCATTTTCTCATTGAGATGGTAGTATTTTGTAATTTTTCTAGTACAAACAAAAAGATAAAATGGATCAATGGTGTTTTTTATTTCTTTAGGCAAAGAACAAATACAGAGCACAAGTTTGTGTGTCATCCTTACACAGGGACCACGCTAATCTTTTCTGTATTGTTCCAATTTTAGTACATGTGCTGCTGAAGTGAGTTTATGGTTTTATAGCATTGTAATTGTTGTACAGTTTTTAGCATAAAATTCATATAGCCCCCAAAATCAGGCTTGAACACATTTTACCTGAAAGTATTTTTTGTATTAAAATCTATTACTAAGGCCAGCGATTTAGCTCAGTGGTTCCGGTGCCTGCCTTGCAAGCTCAAGGTACCGAGTTCGATCTCCGATACCAAAAAAAAAAAAAAATCTATTACTAAATTACAAAGTTAGATTGATATAAGAACACAGAATGTACTAAAAACTACTTCTATTTAAAAGTAAGTAGTTGAAAACATTACATGCTTTGGCAGAACATATATACTGAGTTTTTACAATTAGTTAAGCAGCTCAGAAGTTCATATTATTCTTTAGTACTGCTTAAGCTACTACCTACAATCTAAGTACAGTGGTACCTTGTTTCATGAACTTAATCTGTTCTACGATTTTGAAAAAGACGGCCGTGTTTGTTTGTGTGGGGAAGATGTCTGCAGTCATGTCTGTCATTTAATGCAAAGTTTGCAAACAAAAACAAAATTTTGCCAAACACTTCTGTTTGTGAACCAAACTGTTTGCAAACAAAGGCATTCATGAACCAAGGTACCACTGCATCTGATACTCTACCAAAAGAAACTGTTATAGTGAATCCACATTAATGAAAGATAAGAAAATCACCATTGAGATGTGCTTCTGACCTTGCCTACCGCCTCAACCTCTTTTCATATAACTGGTTAGGTGACATGAGATAGAAACCTGATGCTGTACAAATACAAAGAGGGCAGGGCTGGGGATTTAGCTCAGTGGCAGTGTGCCTGCCTTGCAAGTGCAAGGTCCTGAGTTCCATCCCTGGTGCTGGGGGAAAACCAAAACCAAAAACCCCACAAATACAAAAAAGGGCATTCCTGGGTGGTTTGATCACAACCTGTTTCTCTCCTCCTGCCCTACTCTAGATAAAAGACTAATAGAGTACAGATGGATTCTTGGTGCACATATGAATGACAATGATTTTGAGAGGTGTATAAATGATTACCAGTAGGTAGTCAGACTGGATAGCAGTAAGCAGATGATCTTTGCTGAGTTCATAAAAAACATCCGAAGTCATGACCTGGGACAATTCCTCACAGAGGAAATGCAAAGCTTGCCGGTGCACCCACTTAGAGCCATATGGATGAGAGCTCCACTTGAGGATGGCAATTAAGGTATCTAATGAGATGCTCTCTGCAATGATATCCTCACAGCCTAAAAAAGAAGGCAAAGACTTCTGAGATTAATCATAAATATTATTTACTGAACATTAGTGTGCTAGGCACTATACTTAAAAGTGGCAACAGTACGAAGAATTCAAGGAGATAAACAAATCTCATAGAAATCATCAAGACTTGGTGGGATGGGAAAGTAATAGACTATGACATCTACAAGAAATCCACTGCCTTCTATACAGATGATCTGTAGCAAAACGCAGAGAATCCTCCCAGTTGTTTAAGAGAATAAACATCTATGTGCAAATCCAATAATTTGAATAAGATAGTATAAAGCACCAGACCAGAGGAGAAAGTAGTGTAGTAGAAATGCCGAAGTGGTGGAAACTGATCACAGGAAGGAAATGAATGATGCAGCATCTACACCTGAGAAAATAGGTGAGCTATCAACCAGGAAGACATCCGTTCTTTGTATTACCCTAATAAAAACCTTAAATCTTACATTGCTAACAGTTTAATTCCTCAGAAAATAGACAAAATATCAAAACTTTATGCTTAACGGGGCTAAATTCTAGCAAAATGAAAAAGAAGTGATTTAAGTGAAAAAGACCAAGATCCCGGAGAAAGCAACATGTTATTTTAAGTGCTCCAAGAAGAAGAAAAGAAAATCTGAGGATAGTCAGCTATTCTCCTTAGGAATGATCACTTCAAAAAATAAAGATAGAATCTGGTTGACAAAGACGGTGAAGGGAAAATGGCTAAAGTTGGACAAAAATTCTTCACTGTTTACTATTAAATAAAAACCATCCCAGCACTTGGGAGGCTGAGGCAGGAGAATTGCTGTCAGTTCCAGGCCAGCCTAGGTTACATAGAGTTCAAGGCTAACATGAACTACATAGTGCGACCCTGTCTCAAAAAACAAAACAAACAAATTCCAATCCTGATAACATGTAACTAAAAAGAAGAAATATTTAAACATCATCGTTTCCAACAACAAAAATCTGGTTACACAGGTTACTCTCCAATAAGCTCAGCTTTAAAAGCGATAGCCCAAAGAAAGGGCATCAGTGAACCCCAGAGACTTCCAAAGTTCAAAGTTACTTAAGAGAGAAATCATCAAAGGTAAAAAGAGAGAGGAGTGAATCCAATATTCAGGTGTACAAGATCATTAGTAGCCAATACGGTATCAACAAAAAGTAATGCTTTCTTCCTTTTCCTAATATGGTACCAGATAAAGAGAAACAGTGCATTATGTAACATGATATCCACAAAACATTTAACAAAATATTTCATGATGCTGCTAATTTGTTAGCACAAGACAGGAACTGCTGTCTTTAGCGTATACTTAGCACTTTTTTGAATATAGTAGGTGCTAAATAAAAATATACAGGATGAACAAATAGAACCTTACAGATGTGAGGAAGGCAACAGAATAGCAGTGAAAAGAACCACTTGTAAGCAGCCCCAATGGGAGGCACAAAGGGGGGTGGTCGATGTCCTTGCCATGTTTATCAAGTAATTGGATAAAGATATGGAAAGTAATCTGGGCATGGTGGCACACATCTGTAATCCTAGTTACTTGAGGCAGGAGAATTTTAAGCCTGAGGCCAGCCTGGTCAATTCAGAGAAACCTAGTCTCAAAATAGAGGAGTGGCGATGCAGTTCATTGGTAGTGCACTACTTGGCTAGCATGCATAAGGTCCTGGATTCAATCCTTAGTACTACCACCCCCTTACCCCAAATGTGGAAAGTAAGCTTAAAATCTTGAGATGTCCTAAAACACATATTGCCTTGCATAACTATAACTGGCTAAAAAGACTGGTCAAAATCAAGTTGAGATATAACTAGGAAAACTAGGAAGTTCTACACTTAAGACTGAAGAAAATCAACTGCAGAGTAGGCTATATGCGAGTTAGCGTAACTACCACCTATGTAAAATAATATCTGGGAATTTTAATTGCAAAAATGCAAAATGTGATATGGCTACTATAAGGCTGAAGCAATCTCAGGCTTTTAAGGTATAAGTATGGAGTCCTCATCAGAGATTGAGCTCCTCTGTATTTTTCTGTGCCCTGTGTTTCAGATGGGCACTGTTCAAATCACAGGATTTTCAGAGAAGGGTAAGAGAATAGTGAAGAGTTTGAGACTTGCACAGCAGAAAAGCTCCAAACAGATGAGATTATGTAGCTTATGTAAGAGAAACCCCAGGAGAGACATTAAGAGTTGTCTTTTTTTTTTGGGCGGGGTACCAGGGATCGAACTCTGGTCCTTGTGCTTGTGAGGCAGGTGGCGGAACCACTGAGCTAAACCCCCAGCCCAAGAGCTATCTTTAAATGTCTGATGGCCTTCATGAGGAAGAGGAGAAATAACTGACTTCTGCTGTTCCAAGGGCAGGTCCTGGGAAAAAAATGGATGTAAAGAAGGGAGATTTTAGCTCAATAATAAGAAATTTATCCCAATTAGAATTTTTCTCCTCTACAAAAAAAAATCCCTCCAGAAACGTAGGAGCAGAGGCTGGCTCATCACATAAAAAGGACAAAGTACAAAGAATATTTTCACTGGATAGGAACTAAGGTCAGAAGATACCCAAGTTGCTTTCATCACAAAGATACAATCATTTTTAGAAAAATGGTAATGGAACAAATGTAAGATTCATTTAAAAAATCTAAACATTAAAATAACATCCTTATAAGGCACACTGTGACCACCACAGTGAGACATACATGTAAATGATACCTGAAGGCATGAATATGTGTGGATGAGAAGTGAGATGTAAGGAAAAGTTCTGAACAGTCTTCCTGATTTACGGCGAGCCTTGAACGTCAAGCCAGGACAGGCCTCATTCAGCAGGCAGTGGATGTTACTAATCACTGGAGCAGAAGGCAGGCGGGTCAGTCAATCTGATGGGAAGGGCGAGCTTAGAGATGTGTTTGGGAATGAAGCAGGGAAAATTAGGGGAAAGGATGAATCATAGTCCTACCAACCCAGGATACCAACAGAGAAGTATAAAGAAAACATGACTGTATTTATGCTTCTGAAGTTACAAAGAAGTAGAGCATAGTTTTGAAATCAGACAGACTAGATTTTAAATCCCAGCTCTGCCCCTTAGTAGCAAAGTCACCTTGGGCAAATTACTTAACTCTGAAACTGAAATTTTCTCATCTATAAAACTGGGATTATATCTCTTCATAGGGTTGTTATGAGATCCAAATGATACATCACTTACAATTTCCTAGAATTTTACTAGATGCTCTCACCTCCAGGCCTTGCCAGGCACGTGGGGTGCCACTGAGCTAAATCCAGGGCTGAGTAGCTAATTAAAACAAACAATAGTAGCTGGGCTTGGTGGCGAATGCCTATAATCCCAGCACTCAGGAGGCTGAAGCAGGAGGATCCCCATGAGTTCCAGGCCAGCTTGGCTACATAGTGAGACCCTGTCTCAAAAACAAACAAACACTTCCCCAAATAATGGTTAACATTTTTGAAAACTTATGTATATATGCCAAACTCCTGTGTTATGTGCTTAGAAAATTTAATTCTAGCACTTCTCAAGGAAGGTGATATTATATTTTCATTTTACAGATGAGAAAAGACAAAGATTAAGTAACTTGCCCAAGGTCAAAGAACTAGGAAGAAAAGTCACACACATCTTTCCCTTCCCTAAAAGACCTCCCCTCCCCCATTTTATGCCTGCGATCTTAGGTCCATTTTTTTGTGGGGGCCGGGTACCAGGGATCGAACTCAGGTCCTTGCGCTTTTGAGGCAGGCGGCGGAATCACTGAGGTAAATTCCTGGTCCCTTAGGTCTTATACTCATCAATTCGCATTAGAATTTATTAACTTAGAGCCACTTCTCTCATGAATAGCAAAGCATCTTGGAAATACACCAAACATGGTGACACTAATTAGGCTCAAATAGGTCCCCAAACCCAAACAAACCCTGGAATGTTGAAAGGCACATTTTAAAGTTATACTGTCGTATTCTCATATTAATTTTTTTTTTTTTTGGCACTGGGGATCGAACTCGGGTCCTTGCACTTGCGAGGCAGGCAGCGGAACCACTGAGCTAAATCCCCGGCCCTATTTTCATATTAATTAGTGATAATATGCCTTTTGTCAAGATTAAAACTATGGGGCTGAAAATATACATATACCAATAGAGCAGAAAGGAAGCTGGCAGGAGAAGGCTAACAAGTAGGATGCCAAAGGTTTCTGGGTTTTTTGACACAGGGTCTCCCCATGTAGTTCAGGCTGGTCTTGAACTCACTATGTCGCCTGGCCTTGAACTCGCAGCAATCCCCCTGCCTCAGCCTCCTGAGTGCTGGGATTACAGGCATGAGCTACTGCACTCACCAAAGGTTTCACACAGTGCCACTTTACTGGAACATTCTGATTTTTTTTTTTTTGGTACTGGGGATCGAACTCAGGACCTTGCACTTGCCAGGCAGGCATGGTGCCACTGAGCTATATCCCAGTCCCCCAAGCCACTCTTGCTGACCAACAGTGTCTACTGGACCGGCCCCACCTGCTGCAGATGAAGGCAGAGCTGCACTAGCTGACCTGGAAACTTGTGGGAAATAAACACTCCTTGTTACATGCCACTGAGACCTCAGGGTGTTTCTTACACAGCAATGGTCGACTAATAAACCATGTAACTTTCTGGATGAACTCAAAAGCTATTATAAATTTTCTTATAACAGAAAAATTCTACCTATAGACACAGCATTTAATGGATGAAATCATCAATGCATTCTGCTCAGGTAGCAGTTTTCAACCATGCTATTGTGAGGTTGGTGGAGAGCATGAAGTCAATTTCTTAAAATTCTTTTGTGTGATAACCACACTTTACAGATTAATCTCCTATTTGTTTGATTGTTTCTTCTATTCTCTCTCACCAGAATATTTTCTTTCTACCCCTTAATGTGGGTAAAAAATTCCTCTTTTCAAAAATTTGAGCTGTAGGGCCGGGGATTTAGCTCATGGTCCCACCACCTGTCCTGCAAGCGCAAGGACCTGAGTTCGATCCTCAGTACCAAAAAAA